GGGACACTTTGTTCCATGGGGTCACCCCACTGCCCACCCGGGAGCTTTGGTGGCTTTGGGGACATGGACATTCTCCTAAAGGCTCCAAATTTGGAGAATGAGCAGCTTGGGACCATCACAGAAGGAGGGGAAGGCTGCTGTGGGTGCTCAGCCCATCCTGGCACCTCCCAGAAAATCTCCTGCTCCCACCTGGGCTCCAAATCCCAGCCCTGAACCTGGGGGTCCCCTGTTCCCACAGCCCCAGGAGGCTCCATGGGATGGGCTGTGCCAGCCTGGGATAGATCCAGCCCAGCAGCTGGGATTAACTGGGATGCACTGGTTTACCACACACAGGGTCACATCCTGTCCACAAAATCCCAGGGCACATGGCTCCTATGGGAGCCTGGGGTGAGATCAAAAACCCCAAACTCAGCCAGTGCCTTCCCAGAGGGTGTTTTGGGAGCTGGGTGCCAAACCCAGGGTCCTTCCTGGAGTTTTTCCTGACTTCCCTGAAGTTGCTTTCCTGTGCCATGGTGGCTCAGATGGCAGCCACGCTCCCAAATTCCTAATTTAGCTCTGCCCTTTTGCACAGAAAATATCCCTCCTGGAATCAGGGAGTTCAGCCTGAGGGCAGCCAGACATCCAGTGGTGAGGGGACAGCGAGGGGACAGCACGGGGGTGGCTCTGGTGGCCATCCTGCACTCCCTGTCCCCCTCCCCATGTGCTGTGGGGTGCTGCTGGGGCTGGTTTGGGGTTGGTGGCTGTTGGGAAGGATGAAAGTTTGACAAGAAAGTCTCACAGATATGTGTGCTTAGCAGAAAGATTTTAAAATGTAGAGCATGATGAAGGAATAGAGATGGAAGCAGATTTTGATATAGAAGAAAAGAATTGCTGAAATTACTGGATAACCAAGAAGGCAAAAGGTTTGTTAGTTAGAAGGGATTTTTATGGCTTAGAGGAAAAAATAAACCCACCTCAAACGAGAAGATGTTTTTACCAGGAATACAGCAGGAATAAGCAGGAATACAGCACAGGCAAACAAGGCAGCAAAGTTGCAAGTAGAAAAAAGATCTCAGAATTTTCCACTGCAAGAAAACTGAAAAACAAC